GATGATAGATAGATAGATAGATAGATAGATAGATAGATAGATAGATAGATAGATAGATAGATAGATAGATTGATTCTGGGTTGAGTTAGGCTAAACTCTCTCATTGCCTATGAGACTTTAATCAAGTCCATTAATAATGTGGTCCTTGGTTTACTCATTTTCAAACTGACAACAGTGGACTACTTGATATCTGAGTACCTTCCCAATAATAAAACTATGTGACTCGAGAGTCTGCCAGAATTACCTGCTCTGTGCACTGGTCCAACACCAGAGCCGTTCTTTGGTTAATTGCAGTTGTGGTTCATTGCAGATGGTCATTTCATTGACCAGTAAGGAATTCAGTGCTTATTCTAAAGCTGGAGCTGTAGCAGAAGAAGTTTTGTCATCAATCCGAACAGTCATAGCCTTTGGAGGCCAAGAGAAAGAAATTCAAAGGTCTGTCCCTATTAACTATGACAATAATGGCTTGGGTTTATTTTCTCTCAGGGCTATTTATGACATTACACATTTTGTTTTGTCTTTTCAAGGTATACCCAAAATTTAAAGGATGCAAAGGATGTTGGTGTCAAAAAGGCTATCATTTCAAAACTGTCCCTTGGTGCTGTGTACTTCTTTATGAATGGAACCTACGGGCTAGCGTTCTGGTATGGGACCTCCTTGATTCTTAGTGGAGATCCTGCGTACACCATCGGGACTGTTCTTGCTGTAAGTCTTGGTGGAGAAGAAAAGGAACTGGCCTAGATCACCTTTTCTTACCTAGACGTTGTTAGTGGCCATCAGGTCGATTTTGGCTCACGGTGGCCCCACATGTGCAAGTAGAACTGAACTCCATAAGGCCCTCGGGGCTGTCCTCCCAGAAGCAGACCACCGAGGGTGACTGCCTCTGTGTTTCTGAAGCTGTTCACACTGACCACCTTTCAGCAAGCACTGAAGCTCTTGGGGGGTGGGGAGGGGGTAGAACTCACTGCCATCAGTCCACTGATTTTGACTTTTAGGAACCTTACTCAAGTTCCCAAGGCTGTAATTAGGGAAACAGACACCTTCATCCTTCTCCTGCAAATCAGTTGGTGGGTTTGAACTTCAGATCTTGTGGTTAGTGATCTAACATTTACCCAAAAATACTTAGTGTTTTGTAATATTTCCTCTTTGAAGGGAAATGGATATTTAAAGAAGAATGTGTTCTTTTATATAAGTTCCTTCGAGTGATGTACCAAGCCAAACCAGACTCACCTCCATCAAATCAATTCTGACTCGTGGCGACCCTACCAGACAGGGTAGGACTGCCCCGGTGGGTTGCTGAGGCTGTACCTCTTTATGTGACTAGAAAGCCTCCCCTTTCTTCCGCGGAGCTGTGGTTTCAAACTGCTGACCTCACAGGTAGCAGCCCAGAGCATAACCATTACACCATCATAGCTCCTCAAAATGATAAACAAGGGAGCTTTGAAAATTTGTAAGAAAAAAAAAAATCCATTGTCTTTTAATTCCTCATTCCCATGAAGTCTTTGAAGCCCTCTCCTATAAATATCTTGAAACTCTCCTTGTGAATAGATGCGGGGCATTCTTGTTGTAGAGATTTATTTGTGCAGGCACTTTTACTATTATTGTAATTGAATTCTCCATGGAGACAGTTTTCTTTATCCAGCAATTCAAGAGATCAATCTCTAGTCAAATGTTTTCCTTTCACTTCTGCTGGGATAAGGTGACCCTCTACATTTCTATATTCACCATCCCAAACATCGTTCCTCAAAACGCCTTCTATAGATAGGACTCTCCTGCCCTTTATCTATCCTTTCAATTGGCACTACGTTAAGAGCAGACTACACACAGATGTCTATCCTACAGCCCAATTTTGTCTTCTAATCTCCTACAAAAACCTTAACCTATGGCCCTCCAGTGGAATTCTGACTCAACATGACCCTATAGGGCAGGCTAGAAGTGTCCCATATGATTCCCAAGGCTGTAAATCTCCATGACTGCCTCATCTTTCTTCCTCAGAATAAATGGTGGGTTCACCACTAACTTTTCACATTAAGCCATGTGACACCAGGGTTCCTCCGTAAATATCCAGGAGTCATGCATTCAAATACATCCATCAGGAGCTTGCATGGCCAGTATTCCTCAATCAGCACATTTTTTCTGCTCAGACTTCCTTGAAGATGGTAACCATAAAATAATATCACCAAAAGTCATTCCATATTAGGAACCAGCCAATGATCTTTGGATTAACAGTTTGCCTATCTTATGTTCCACTCTTGCCTACCACGTCTGTCCAATCTCTCTCTGTGATCTCCCACCAAGCATATCCTCAGTTCTCTCTTATGCACGTGCTTGTGTTGTCCCCATAGGTCTTCTTTAGTGTAATCCACAGCAGCTACTGCTTTGGAGCGGCCGCCCCTCACCTGGAGACCTTTACAATCGCCCGAGGAGCTGCCTTTAATATCTTCCAGGTTATTGATAAGGTAAGATCTCTAGTTGCTGTAAGGGTAACTACCATGACTGAGAAAGAAACCACAACCAGGTGTGCTTTCACACATGTGCACGCACACACACACACACACACACAAAAGCAATAAGATGGGCAAAATTCATGCTACCATTTGGTTCTAGGAAGAGAGACTGCTTTTAACTTTTTCTCTACAATGAGATTGTGTTTTATTGTGATTTTCATGTCCAACTTCTAACACAGAAAAGATAAAATATTGTAGAAGAGACCCACCTTTAAATTAATTTAAGGATATAAAGAGATCAGTTTAGTTCTTTGCAGATTCATAACATTCTCTTTTGTTTTGTTTTGTTTTCAAAGAGACCCACTATAGATACCTTTTCAACAACTGGATATAAACCTGAATACATAGAAGGAACTGTGGAATTTAAAAATGTGTCTTTTAGTTATCCATCAAGACCATCGATTAAGGTAGGATGAATGAAAGAGTTGTACAATGGTCTGATATTATCCTCCGTTATCTATCTAAGAGTCTTTTCTTATGAGATTGTTTAGGATAATTGAATCAAGGTTTCTGTTACTTTGCTTAAAGACTAAAGCAGATAGATAGGTATATCGGCAGGGTAGGCGATCTTTCAATCATTAGGGAACAATAACTGTGAAAGAGCGCATTATATTTTGTAGCCTCTTTCATATATTCAGTTGAATAAGCCTTTCCTACTCTGGACTGCACGCAGGATTTGGGAGCACACCAAAATATCCTGGATTGATGGTGCCACCTACTGGTATCCAGCTTAGCACATCCCTGTGCTACAGAAAGAAACATTGCCTGGTACTGCACGATAGCCACAGCTGTGGAGGCCACCTGGTGCTTTGAGTACCTTACAGCTCTGGAGCGAGCAACACACAGCTGTGATCCACAGGGTCTTCACTGGCTGGTGTTTGGCCTTCAATTTCACCTTCACCTGGACGCTCAGCCGTGAAACCATTTGAAATGCCAGCGACATAGCCAACAGCACCATACAGTACACAAGCCACCACAGGAAGACAAACTGACAGGCAGGGTGGCAGCCACTCAGCAAAGTTACCTAGTCAAGTGAACCCTCCTAATTTCTGTCCTGGGGGAATTGTACACAGCTGTACCTGTTTGCTGACCCCACAGGGCCTCAGGTTCGTGTCTTTATGGGAGCCTACTGCCACCTCTGTATCCCACAAGGTGGCTGATGGCTTCAAACTACCAATCATTGGGTGAACAGCAAACACTGAACCATTGTACCACCAGGACTCATTACTCTTACATCACACACACACACACACACACACACACACACACACACACACATAGTTGCCATCAAGTAAGTTGTCTCTGATTATGGCGACACATACCCTTCCCACCCCAAAGTAGGTCAAAATAGATCTATATGTTCCATAGGGTGTCCTATGATTGATATTGTCAGAAGTACCTGGCCTTCCTTTCAAGGTGCCTCTGGGTAGACTCAAACCTCCAGGTATCTGATCAGCAACCACACACTTTAAGCCTTTGCACTCTCCGCCTACCCTCCTTCCTCTGACATTCAGCACTGAATAAATTCTTGCGAACATACATTGATCCCTTTTTCATTGTCTTCTATTTTTTTGTTTTATTAGTGCATTCACCACTACCTCCAAAATGTTACTGTTCAAGATGCAAAAGATAATTACTAATAAAACACCTCTTTCATAGAAAAAAGAGACGATAATTTTTAAGTGAAATAGCAAACATCTAAAGCCAACAATAAAGCCTTCTCAAGTGTTCAAATGTCCCCTGCAGTATCTGCATCCAAAACACTATCTGCCTGGCTCCTTATTTTGCTCTGATCAAATCTTTGATTGACATTCTCCTCAAAATGTTTTCAGGGGCCTAAGGCTGGTACTCAATTGCTATGATTGGAAGAAGGTTTTCTTCCATTACTTTTCTGAACGTAGGAGAGGATCTCAAAATATATTTTGCAAGTATATTTGAGTTGGCTTGCTGGAAACATGAGTACTCACCATGACCCTCTATTTTGTGATATGGTGTGTTGGGGGTTTAAACAATGGTTTTTAAAACCAATGTTCAAACATCATCCCTTTTGCTCAGCTGGAGAATGAATCATGAAAGGGGAGGGGGGAAATGCTCTCCCACTTTAAATGTGTAAAGCCCCCATTCTTCTAGGGAATGCTTAGGGATCAACTCTAGAGTGCTGGGGGAGAGAAGGCACTCTCCTCGGTAGTCCCACCTCCTCATCTCCTTCGGGCAACTTTCCTCTGCTTGGTCCTTAGCAGAGACTCTCTTTCAGATGTTTAAAGGGCCCGTTCTTTACAAATGGTGTGATTGCAGTGAGAGAACACAAGGAGAGTCCACGGGTTTGAGTTTAACACACAGAGATGCAAGCCAGGATCACTGAGGGGATCTCAGCAGGATGACTTTTGGATTTGGAGAAGGCGGTCCTTCGTAAGGGTTCTCTCACACCACAGGCCTCTGGGACACTAAATGCTGGTATAAGAAGCCAGTCACTGGGAACATGTTTTGGAATGCATCCTCCCACTGCCTGTATTCAAATGCTCCTCATAATTAATTAAGCCACCTGGAGACAGCGGGTTTCTGGTTGATCAACCCCATCCCAGGGAGTCACTGCAGAGCTTTCCCGATTGGTTTACTTGAGAATGGTCTTTGTAACAGGGGCAAGGAGCTTCTCAGGAAGATCTTCCTTGATTCGCGTCTACAGCTATAGGGAAAACGTTAATTCAGTTGCTGAAAATTAAGGGATATGCCTTTAGCTGACAGGTGGTCAGAAAACGTATGTAGTAGTATTTTAGTTGACATTGACAACAGTTTGCTGTGACTAGTTTATTATGAGTCCTCTTGGTGTGTGGGTGTGTGTGTATGAGATAAGAAGATCATTTTGCCACTAGTTCACCAAATTTACCATGTGCATTAACAATTAATAAATGTGGTGAGTGAATAAAGTATAAGAATGACCATGACATACGTGTGTCACAAGATCTGTTTCTTTTTCAATGCCAGAGAAGGGTTTCAGGTGGCATGGGTTTAAAACTGCCTATTAGAGTTCTAGAGCTCTGTTCTAACTTACCCTAGTTTTAGGAAGCTGTTCTCTCCACCCCACCCCCACCCCCACCCCACAAACACATGAACAGATTCTGAAGGGCCTGAGTCTCAGAATTAACTCTGGCGAAACCGTCGCTCTGGTTGGCAGCAGCGGCAGTGGCAAGAGTACAGCAGTCCAGCTTCTGCAGCGACTATATGACCCCAACGATGGCTTGGTAAGTCCAGCTGGTAAGACCAGGCACAGCCCCAAAGGACGTGATCTGGAAATGTCACCTATGACGCAGAGCCAATGTCTCGGTCAGCTTTGAACTTCCAGCAAAGGGACTGGGAAGAAAACCCATTAATAATCAGTCTCTATGCAGTTGCCTACTCTACATATTTCACACAAGTGAAATCACACAGTATTTTGCCTTTTGCATAAAGCTTCTAAGGTTCGACTTTGTTATAGTGTGTTTCAGAACTTCATTCTTCTTAATGGTTGAATAACTAATCCATTGTATTGATACCCCACGTTTGGCTTAATCATTCTTCTGTTGATGGGCGTGCTTTTCCCCGCTTTTCACCTATAGTAAATCGGGCTCCAGTAAACACTGGTGTGCAGGTATCTAAAGGAAGGAAAGAAGAAAGAAAGAGGGAGGGAGGGAGGGAAGGAAGGAGAAGAGGCCCGGTTGATTGTGATCCATGGTGTGTGTCAAAAGCCCCAGGGTTTTCAAGGACTGGTTTTCCAGAAGCAGTTAACCAGATCTGTCTTTCAGAGCC